AAAAAAAATTTTAAAGATTTTATTTATTTATCTGACATACAGAGATCACAAGTAGGCAGAGAGGCAGGCAGAGAGAGAGGAGGAAGCAGACTCCCCGCTGAGCAGACAGCTCGATGCGGGGCTTGATCCCAGAACCCTGGAATCATGACCTGAGCCGAAGGCAGAGGCTTTAACCCACTGGGCCACCCAGGTGCCCCAATAATTCAATTTCTAAGACTACTGATTCAACAATTTGATTCTTGTACGTGTGAACAAAGATGCATATTCAAGGACATTCTTTTTCTCGTCAGCCTCACTACTTCCAAATAAGACCAGGCCACCATCTGATTTTGCCTATATTACTTTAAAAGCCTCCCACCTTGTCTCCCTATTTACACAATGACCCCTCTACAGTCTCTTTTCTGCACAGCATCCAGAATAATAATAATAAAAAAAAAGAAGCACAGTAGTTCAGTCAGTTAATTGTCTGCCTTTGGCTCAGGTCATAATCTTGGGGTCCTGGGATTGAGATTCACATGGGGCTCCCTACTCACCAGGGAACCTGCTTCTCTCTCCACCTCTGCCTGCACCCCCCACCACTTGTGTCCTCTCTCTAATAAATAAATAAAATCTTTTAAAAAAAGATTTTATTTATTTGACAGAGAGAAAGAGATCACAAGTAGGCAAAGAGGCAGGCGGGGTGGATGGGGAAACAGGTTCCCTGTTGAGCAGAGAGCCCGATGAGGGGCTCAATCCCAGGACCCTGAGATCATGACCCGAGCTGAAGGCAGAGGCTTTAACCCACGGAGCCACCCAGGTACCCCAAATAAATAAAATCCTTAAGAAAAAAGAATAATTTTAAAAAGTCCAGGGGCGCCTGGGTGGCTCAGTGGGTTAAAGCCTCTGCCTTCAGCTCAGGTCATGTTCTCTGGGTCCTGGGATGGGGCCCTGCATAGGGCTCTCTGCTCCGCGGGGAGCCTGTTTCCCCCTCTCTGCCTGCTTGTGGTCTCTCTGTATAAAAAAAAAAAAATTTAAAAAGTCGAATCACATTCTTGCCTGCTTATAACACTCTGCCTGCTAAGAATAAAATCCAAAATTCTCAACGTGGCTTCAAGGTGCCGCAGGATCTGGCTTCATCCCCAACCTCATTAACGGCCACTTTCTTGCTCACTTGCTCACTCACAGGACAAGGATGCTCCAGCCACGGGTTGTTGTACTTTTCTCCCCCAGGTATTCAAATGGCTTGTGAAGGTCTTCAGTAGGTCTCAACCCAAGAATCACCTCTCCAGAGATGGCCTGGCTATGGTCTTGAAAACTGCATCCCATCACTTAATCCCTATCTGACATTACATCCTATGTTCACCTGTTTGGTTGCTGTCAGTCTGTTTCTCTGGGTTCCGCCTGAGGTCAGGGACTTGTCTGGCTCTCCCCTATAACCCCAGTCCCTAGAGTACTTACTGCCTGGCGTATTGTGGGTTCTTAAATGGCTGAAGGAATGAAGATAACTTTCATTCCTTAGGGCTTTTGTACCCACCATGTCCTCTGCCTAGCTTCTTCCTCACCCTTCTTTTTGCCGGCTAGCTTTGTCAGATTCTTTAGATCTCAATTTAAATGTCACCTCCAGGTGTCTGGGTGGCTCAGTGGGTTAAGCCTCTGTCTTTGGCTCAGGTCATGATCTCAGAGTTCTGGGATCGAGTCCCACATGGGGCTCTCTGCTTGGCAGGGAGCCTGCTTTCTCTTTCTCTCTACTCTCTCTCTCTCTACTCTCTCAAGGAAAAAAAAAAAAGTCACCTCCTCAGAAAGCCTCCCTGTTTACCTTATTCTAAGTTCCACTGCTGCACTTGCCTTTCCCATCTCAGCCTCTCATTCCTGCTATAGTACTTATAACAATTTGCCTTTATCTATTTGCCCCATTTCTCCCCCTAAAATGCGAGCTCCATAAGGGCAGGAACTTCCATGGTTGTCTCATTCACTACTGTATCCCCAGGGCCTAGAACAGTTCCTGGCAAATAATAGGCCCTCAAGAAATTTGTTGGATGGACTTTCAATAGCTAAAAACTGGAAAGAATCCACATGCTATAGAATGTTGGGTGGCTGCTGAAGAATGAGGTAGCTCCATGTACACTGGCATGGAATGATGTCTGAAATACACTTACAGTAAAATGTAACAGGTAAAACAGTGTAATTCCTATTATATAATTAATATTATGTACACAGAAAAAAATAGGAAAAATAACAGCTTAGACACTACTAATAATTTGGGGATAAGGATATTAAAAAGATTTTAACTTCCTATTTTATGTATTTCTGTATAGCAAGCTGTATTTTTTTATTTTTTTATTTTTTTAAAGACTTATTTATGTATTTGAGAGAGAGCACTGCACAAATGGGGGGAGGGCCAAGGGAAGGGAGAGAAGCAGTCTCCCCACTAAGCATGGAGAGATCTCAGGACCACCCTCACCCCGAGACCATGACCTGAGCTGAAATCAAGAGTAGGATGCTCGGGGCACCTGGGTGGCTCAGTGGGTTAAGCCTCTGCCTTTGGCTCAGGTCATGATCTCAGGGTCCTGGAATCGAGTCCCACGTCGGGCTCTCTGCTCGGCAGGAAGCCTGCTTCCTCCTCTCTCTCTCTCTCTCTGCCTGCCTCTCTGCCTACTTGTGATCTCGCTGTCAAATAAATAAATAAATAAATAAAATCTTAAAAAAAAAAAAAAGAGTAGGATGCTCAACCAAATGTTGGGGTACCTCAACCCAGACACCCAACAATTTTTTAATTTTTTAAAATTTTTTAATTTTTTAAAGATTTATTTATTTAGTTATTTGACAGACGGAGATCACAAGTAGGCAGAGAGTCGGGCAGAGAGAGAGGAAGGGAAGCAGGCTCCCTGCTGAGCAGAGAGCCGGATGTGCAGCTTGATCCCAGGACCCCGGGATCATGACCTGAGCTGAAGGCAGAGGCTTTAATCCACTGAGCCCCCAGGCGCCCCCCAACAATTTTTTTTCAAACAAACACTAACATTTGATCATTTAGTACATGCTAGGCACTGTAGTAAATATTTTGCAGGCAGCATCTTGTGGCATCTTCTCAGTAACCTCATGAGCTAAAGGATGCCTGGGTGGCTCAGACTGTTAAGCGTGTGCCTGTGGCTCAGGTCATAATCTCAGGGTCCTGGGATCAAGTCCAACATCAGTCTCCTTGCTCAGAGAGGAGCCTGCTTCTTCCTCTGCCACAGCTCCCCCTGCTTGTGCTGACAAATAAATCTTTAAAAAAACAACAAAAAGACCCTCATGAAATAGAGGTCCTAATACTATCACCCCATTTGCAATTCAAGGACATTAAGCAATTTACCTAAGGTCACATGGCAGACCCATTATCTACACCAACTCCCTGTGTTTTTATAATAAAAAAAAAAAGGAATATAAGATGAAAGTAGGGGTGTCCGATGAGGATCCAGACTTTACACAAAAGATGTTAAGTAAATTTGGCTCTGAGCTCTCTAGAAGCCAGGGCAAAAAGAAAAATATGAGTTATGAGATTCTTGGTGCTTCCAAAATAAAAGTAAACCACTCCTCAGGAGAAACAAGTCTTCCCAAATGGTGAGGCTTAAGAACACTTCCAGGAGGTTCATAAATACAGCAGTATTCAGTTGAGTGGTGTACGACTTCAATAACATACCTGTATACCTAGGCAGCTGTTGGCTATCCAACAAATGGAAATTCAGTAAAAGCAATCCCACAAGAAGCCACATTTGTACTGCCTGGGCATCAGATTTGGAGTTCTGCCAGATCCAACCTTAAAATTGGATGAGTGGCCTAACCCTCCAGCAAACTCCTGGAATACTGCAAATTCAGCCTGTTAAAGACTGTTAGTAAGAATTAGGAGACAAAGGACACATGGGTGGCTCAGTTGGTTAAGCAGCTGCCTTCAGCTCAGGTTATGATCCCAGGGTCCTGGGTTCAAGTCCCACATGAGGGTCCTTGCTGAGTGGGGAGCCTGCTTCTCTCTCTGTCTCTGCCTGTTTGTGCTATCTCTCTCTCTCTCTCTGACAAATAAGTAAATAAAATCTTAAAAAAAAAAAAAAGAATTAGGAGACAAGAAGTGACATTCATCTTAAATTTCAACCCCAGTGAATTTTCCAGGTAGGGTGGGTTGATTTTATGTTTCTTTTACAGATGAAGAAACTGAGGCTCATAAAGCCCAGTTACACGACTAGAAAATGTCAGTAGCAGCCCTAAGTCTGTGTCTTAGCCATTCCTTCCCCAGCCACGTCTACCACCCAGGCTTCAACAAAAGAGCTTATGCCCTCAGAATCTCTCCCAGGGTGGTGGGCCAGGGCAAGTAGTGGGCCGCGGGCCTAGGAAGCCTATGGTCCTGCACTCTGGAGAAGAGGTGCCGAAGCAGGGAGCTCAGCCCGACCTGTGGGGAGTAAGCCTCACATTAGCAAGATGAGGAACACCTCCACCCACCCCAAACAGAAAAGTGATCTCGCAGCATGCACTTAACTTCATTCATTTATTTACTTTTCACTACAACCTGCGGATAGGTAGGCCTTCAGCTTGGGTAGGAACTTGGGCAATTCGGGGAGCTGTGTTAGGCGGAGGAGGGGGAAAGGAAAGTGGGGGCCTGGAGCAGGGCAGGATTCTAAGATAGGGAGGAGGAGAGAGAGACGAAACAAAGGGTCCACGCCCTTCTTCCGCCCCACACCCAGGTTTCCCAAGTCCGGGTGGAAGGGAAGAGAAACAGGACATCCACCCCGAGATGTTCTTGATCTCTTCTCGCCCTTCCCCTGCTATCCAGCAATATCGTGAGAGAAATCAGGGAAGTGCAGCAGGTGGGCGGCGTGCAGGCTTGGTCAAAAAAAAAAAAAAAAAAAAAAAAAAAAAGAAGAAGAAGAAGAAGACGAAAAGGCAAAAAGCGAGGTGACAGGTGCACCCAGCGCCAGCGCACCGCGGAGGTTTCCCTCGCAGCGGGCCGCGGGCGGCGGGCGCAGGGTAGGAGGCACGCGCGTGCTCCCCCGGCTAGCCGCCGAGCCCCGCGGCGTCCTCAGCTCCGGCCTTTCCTCTTCCTCCCGCGTCCACGCTCTGCCACTTCCGCGGCCGGGCTGCTGTCAGCGCTGTCGCTGCTGGCGGGCGGCTGCAGCACGCGCCTCTGCACACGGTACTCGGGCTCGGGGACGCGCGGCGTGGCCTGAAGCAGGAACTGGCCGCCGCGGTAGGTGACGCGCACGTCGGTGCGCGGGTACGTGCCGTACACGCGCCGGAGTTCCCGGCGCACCACATCCGGCAACTCTAGGCGCGGGCCCAGTGCGCGTTCCACGCGGCCCCAACGCAGTTCGGCCTGCAGGCAGCCCCCTTCGGGCCACTGCGCCCAGCGCTGGGCAGCCGCCGTCTCCTCCCCTGCGGGCCCTTGTAGAGATGCCCCCAGGTAGCCGGGCGCCGGGAAAGGCGGGAGCAGGGCCGCGGCGTAGGCCTGCTGGAAGGCCCACGAGGGCAGCGCAGCCGCCAGGGGCGCGCCTGGGCCGTGGAAGCAGTGGTATTCCCGCGGAGCCGGCCACTCGCCTGCGCTCAGGCTTGGGGGCCGGCTGTAGAACCTATGGGCGTGGATGGGGGGCAGCAGCAGAGGGCTGGGCAGGTAGGTGTAGGTGAGGGGCTGCAGCGGAGGCCAGACGCCCTCCTTGGATGCCAGGCAGCTGTACGAATACATGGTCTGAAGCTCAGGCGGCGGGCATTTTTACTGCGGCCTGGTCCATACCTACGGTGGGAGTGTGTATGGATACTCTGTTTTGTCTCCACCACCCATCCCTGGGGCTTGGTAACCCAGGGCTCTGGTTCACAGCAGGAGCCCATGTGCAGCACCTGATGGTTTGGGGGGAACTCTTCCTAAGGCATTCAGCTTCCATCTCACCTCTTGTCCCAGGGCTGGGCGGAAACCCAGGCTCTCAGTAGGTGATAGGACCCAAGGCCTTTTCAAGCCTTCAGTCCTGAAGTGTTCTTCCCGGGTGGTTCCTCACTCGTTTCCTTCAGCCCAGGGGTAGCTGGTCCCAAATGCTGGTCCCCAGCATTTGGGGGAGCCAGAGAAGTCCAGAGCAGGCTCCACTCCAGCACTCTTTAGCGGCTCTGTTCCCCTCCATGCCCTGCCTCCACCACACCTCCTGGTTTCTAGGCAAGGGGAAACACATTTTGCTGGCCAGAAGCCAGCCAGCCTATATCTACACTGGGTCACTGCCTAACCCAGAAGGTGAGGCTTGTGCTCAGGGATGCATCCACTCCTACATCACTGAGGCTGTCTTGGTGCCCTTTCCATTCAGTTAGCCACCTGTTCCCCACACCCTATGCTCCCAGCCCTTCCAAATGGGTTGAATTATCCTAACATTTGAGTGAAGCTCCTACACCAGGCACTGAATGATGTTGTTTATGAGCATCTAACTTTAGGTTTACATCAGCCCTAGGAAGGAGGTACTAATATTTTCCCCACTTAATGTAGGAGAAAGCTGCTTGCCTCAGATTTGGTACATAGTAAATGTATTATGTGACTAAGAAACACTCCCAGTGTTGTAGGTTATGCGGGTTAAGTATCTAGCCCAAACTCACACAGCTAGTTATGGTAAGAACAAAATTCAACCTTATCTCAAGATTTGTGATTGGTAATTAGCTTAATAGCCAATCCATGCTGGGACTTCTTTCACTCTGTATCCAATTCTCCCCTCTAGAATGTTACATAAGGACTAATTCTTTTTATTAAATTTATTAAATTTATTTATTTATTTGACAGCTAGAGAGGGAAACAGACAAGGGGGGTGGGGGAGGGAGAAGCATAGCAGGGAGCCCAATGCAGGGCTTGATCCCTGGACCCCAGGATCATGACCTGAGCCAAAGGCAGACACCTAACAGCTGAGCCACCCAGGCGCCCCAAGAACTAATTATTAATAGCCATGTGATGAACATGGTGACATCATTTTCATCTAATTGATAAGGAACCAGAGGCTCAGAGAAGTCAGGCCACTTTCCCAGGTTTACACAGTCTAGGTAGCACAATGGGATTTGAACCCAGTCCAACTAAGGCCAAAACCCACCCTACTTGGGTGAAGCCAGAAAGATTGCTTCATCCAGATGGTGTGAAGCCCTGTCTAAGCTCCAGCCCACTCTGGTAGTTGCTGGATACTTAAAACTGATACTGTCTCCCAGCTGCTGGGTTGCTGGACCATCATACTTTCCTTCTTCCTCTTATCTTGACTCAGGCAGCACCACCAGTAACCCCCACAGGTTCTCCTCTAAGTTCTCAGTGCCCCTCAAAGGTCAGCTACCCTCTAGGAAGTTCTGCACTCGCCTTGATGATGTCAAACTTTTATATTCCTGGCTGAGCTGCTCTCCCACGTCTTGGGCCATTGGCCTGGTGAGAGATACTGGAATTGGGTATCTACCTGACACTCCCTACCCCAGAGCTCAGAAGGGAGCCTCACACTCTGTGTACTCTAGGAACTAGTCTCAGGACAAAGTGGTCTTTGTTGGGAGAGGCGTCTACCCCCAAGATGTCCACAACCTAATCCCTGCCAACCTGCGAATATGTTACCTTACATGCAAGGGGGAATTGAGGTTGTAGATAGTATTAAGGTTGTGAATTAGCTGTCCAAAATGAGATTATCTTGGATTATCTGGATAGATCCAGTGTAATTACAGGTGTCCTTAAATGTGGAAGAGGGAGGCAGAAGAGTCAGAGTGATGTTATAGGAGAGTGAACCAGCTGTTGCTGGCTCCGAAGATGAAAGGGGGTCATGAGCTAAGGAATGCTGGCAGCCTTTGGAAGCTGAAAAACACAAGGAAATGGATTCTTCCCTAGAACCTCCAGAAAGGAACGCAGTTCTGTCAGCACCCTGATTTTAGTTAATGAGGCAGACTTCTAACCTCCAAAACTGTAAGATAATTAATTTGTATTGTTTTAAGTAACTAGGATTTTGGTAATTTGTTACAGTGCCAATAGGAAATTAATATACTTCCCCCTTCCTGTTTATAACTTTGTCTTCTCCAAATCTCAGCAGTTGAGGAATGTCCAAGACTGCCTATAGACTCACCTCACCCAGGCCTGGAGCTCAATCGTGGGCCCTGTGGAACTGGCCCTTTCTCCTCCTCCTCCCACACGGGGATCTGGTCACACCTGGGTGGGAGGTGGGGAGTGTGTGAGAGCAAGCTCAAGTTGGAGGCTGGGAGGGTGAGAAGCCTGTGTTTTTATTTTTGTTTTTTAAGATTTTATTTATTTGTCAGAGAGAGAGAGAGAGAGTGAGCACAGGCAGACAGAGTGGCAGGCGGAGGGAGAAGCAGGCTCCCTGCTGAGCAAGGAGCCTGACATGGGACTCGATCCCAGGATGCTGGGATCATGACCTGAGCCAAAGGCAGCCACTTAACCAACTGAGACACCCAGGCGTCTCGAGAAGCCCGTACTTTAATAATCGGTCCCTATATGCTTGCTGAAGACCTCTGCTGGTCGGGGTTTGGTTCAGGTAAAATGGGAAAAATAAGGACCAAACTGAGTTTCTCAACATTCATCCTGACTCTAGTAACAGCTTCTAGATTTGGGGGGTCCCATACCTTATGTACTCAGTGAAGTGGTTCTTCATTGAGTTGAGGAGTTGGGGAGTTGGCCATATTCTTTCCTTAAAGTTATGGGTGATTTATGGCTAGATCAATTGCACTGCCATCCCTCTGGCCATAAGGATTGGTTGAAAGTAGCCAGGTGACTCAACTGGTCAGTGGGAGCCAGGCCCAGGACTTTGTTTTCTTGGGGTGGAGGGAAGTGCTTTCTTTCCCCTGGACAGAAATCTGAAAGAATACAGTCTGGGTGGAGAGGTGAAGGCCTATCGGAGCATGGAGACACAGAAGAAGTGGAACCAAGGGACAGAAAGAGAAATTAAGTCCTGATGACATCATTTAAATGTCCAGTTTTATTGAGATATAATTGACATACATGATTGTATAGGTCTAAGGTATACAGCAAATGATTTTACTTAGGTATATGATGAAATGATTAACACATTGTTTTGTTAATATCCATTATCTTACAGATAAAAATTTTTCCCATGTGATGAGAACTCTTAGGGTCTACTTAACAACTTTCAGATATTCATAATCATCATGTGCATTACATACCTAGTAGTTGTGGAACTTTACCTTTTGACTACCTTCCTCCAATGTTTCCTCTCCACCCCACCCCATAAATTCCTTTCTTCCTTAATCTGGTTTGAGTGGAGTCTTTTTTCTTTTCACACACCAGTTGTGTTTACTTCATATAAATTTAACTACAGAAGACAATGAAATAGACTTCTGTGTTTTTTTTTTTAAAGATTTTATTTATTTATTTGACAGAGATCACAAGTAGATGGAGAGGCAGGCAGAGAGAGAGAGCGAGGGAAGCAGGCTCCCTGCCGAGCAGAGAGCCCGATGCGGGACTCGATCCCAGGACCCCGAGATCATGACCTGAGCCGAAGGCAGCGGCTTAACCCACTGAGCCACCCAGGCGCCCCTAGACTTCTGTTTTTAATTACAAAGCACCATCACCTACATCCTCAGAAAATTAGAAGTTTGTGTTATCACACTGTGGGGTAGAGTCTTCTGTTGTTTGCATCTCCACTACACCCTGAGTGTTTTCCCCAGCATTTCATGAAAAATTTCAAAATGCAGCAACCTGCGTAGTTTTTGATCCACGAACCCCACGATCAGAGGCTCTCCTGTTGGCAAAGTAGAGGATAGATTGATGAGAGAGACTGGAAGCTAGTCTTGGAGGAGGTTCTCAACACGAGCCCAGGAAAACTGACAACCAAAGCAGGAGCTGGGAATGGAAAAGAGATGGGAGCAGATTCACCTAGAATTGACCCCATATAATCGCCTGGGTGGAGAGGGTAGAATAGAGGAGGATGCACATGTTTTTGGCTTAGTTGCCTGGGTGGGTAGTCAAGGCAAGCCTGGAGAATAAAAAAAAAAAACAAAAAAACTCTTGCGGGTGATTGGGAAGTTGAAGAAATGGTGCAGTCAGGGAGTTCATTTGGGGAGCTGTCGGGCAGGCGGTTCTATATTCAGGCTGGAGATGGGAGGTGGGGTAGTCATGAAGTGAAAAGTAGTAGGTGAAGGACTGAAACAGCTGCTACCTGACCTGACCCGCATCTCACTATGTTGTCATGGCTGCCAGTTTGTTGGGTTCCACTTAACACCTTTTAAAGGCAGCAGTCTTGTGTTGGAAGTCCCTTTTACCCCAGATAGCCCATGACCTGACAAGTTTGAGTGAATAAATGAGAAGAGTTTTGAAAATGGAAACTTGCGGAGGTGGTGCCTGGATGGCTCAGTTGGTAGCATCTGCCTTCAGTTCAGGTCATGATCCTGGAGTCCCAGGATCGAGCCCCACATCCATCCGTCCATCTTTTCATCCAGCTCCGTGCTCAGTGGGGAGTCTGCTTCTCCCTAACCCTCTGCTCCACCCCCCCAACCTCGTGCTTTCTCTCTCTCTCTCAAATAAATAAAATATATTTTTAAAAAGATTTTATTTATTTATTTGACTGAGAGGGACACAATGAGAGAGGGAACACAAGCAGGGGGAGTAGGAGAGGGAGAAGCAGGCCTCCCACCGAGCAGGGAGCCCAATGTGGGGCTCCATCACAGGACTCCGGGATCACGACACCAAAGGACTGAGCCACCCCTCAAATAAAATCTTAAAAGAGAATGGAAATTTGGGGGACCTGCCCTCTGATTTTAGAAAGCCCCTGGGAAAAAACGTGCCCTGGGAACTGAGGAGGAGTTGTTTATTAGGAGGAGAACATGATGGAACCTAGATCAGAGAGGTCAGAAGCCGAGGGAGGAGAGAATTTCGAGGAGAAAGACTGTTTATGTATCTATTTGTCCCACAGTCTAGGGACTCTGATATGACTCAAGAAGTCAGGCAGATGATACGCTCCAATTGCATCTTAGGTCCCTTCCCGGTTAGCTCTGTGGCTGGCAACCAGGAAGGAAGATTGGAGGTAATCACAAGGCCCAGTCCTGGTGCTGACACAAGCACCATTACATTGTTACATTGTCTATAAAATTAGAGGGATGAGGGGGCGTCTGGTGGCTTAGTTGGTTGAATGTTTGCCTTGGCCTCAGGTCATGATCCCAGGGTCCTTGGGATTGAGCCCCTCTTTGGACTCCTTGTTTGGAAGGGAGCTGCTTCTCTCTCTTCCTCTGTTGCTCCCCGTTTGTGTTCTCTCATGCTTTCTCTCTATCAAATAAATAAATAGAAAGATAGATAAATAAAATCTTTAAAAAAGAAAAAATCAGGGGGGTGAGGAGCCTCAGTGTAACCATGAGACATTAAGTGCAACATAGGGGCCAAAGTTTTTCCAGTGGGTTACATTCATTTCCGGCCCCTTCGCAGCCCCTTCCGTTCCCCTGCTCTCCCATTGGACTGGAGGGCTAAGTAAAGAATCAGGGTTGTTTTGCAACAAAGGCACATGCTGGTCAGAAATGGAAAGGCAGGGGAACTCCTTTAATCAATTTATGGAGGTCCTAGTGTGCCAGACAACATGCTGAATTCTGGGTTTCCAGCCTTATATTCTCAGCCAGGAAAACATAGATGGGAACAAGGGGTTGGGATGGGGGAATAATGGTCAACTTCCTTTTAGTCATGAGGGCTTTCTGGAGCAGGAGGGGTTCCAGAAATTGCTTGAAGTCCAAAAGAGAAATGATGTGGCTTCAGGGGAATATAGGAGGAAAGAAGAGGAGGGTCTGAAGGGGCAGGGTCTGAATGTGGCTTCAGGGGGACATAGGAGGTAAGAAGAGGGTCTGAGGGGGCAGGATTGGGGAGAAATGAGATTGGTGAGTGGTGGATGCTGGGAGCAAAGTTCACGGGACTGCTGGGCACCACAGGAACTGGTTGGACAGACTCCAACCCCTGCTTATGAGGGCTCTAGTGTTGGACCATTTGCTGTAGGTGGACCCTTTGCCAGGTTGTCAGGCAGGAGGAAGAGGATGATTTTCCTGTTGACAACCATCAACAAAAGCATAATGACCAAAAGCTGGCAAAATTCTTAACACTCCCATTTCTTAACTAATGCCTACAAAATCAAGACATAAAACAGAGGCTCACAAAAGGAAGGTCCCTTAACAAAGAAGTGGAGCTAGAGGACCAAGCCCCAGGTCCCCCAGAAGCTAAAGCCCATGCTCATTGCCCCATAACCCAGGGGAAGAAAACAGGTGGTCTGAAGTGTGTGCTGTTTGGTTGCCTGGAAAACTAACCAGGCTTACAGGCCTATTGTGAAAAGACATGGGATATCCTCACCAGACTGGATTAAGCAAAACAAAACTTGACTTTGAGGCCCTTGGCAGGGGTAGGAAGAGGAAAGACTCCTGTTCTGAGAGTCAGGAGAGCTTGGTTCCAGCTGGGCCTCTTGCTTGTAGGAAGGTCATTGAATCTCTCTGAACCTGTTTCCTCCTCTGTAAAATGGGGATAATAGCACCTGCCTCCCAGGGATGGTGTGAGGACTACAAGTTAATGGATGCAGAGTGCTTAGCACAGTACAGGGCACATAGTGAGAGCTCGGTACTCCTTTTACTTTATTATTCTTATTTTTAACTGGAGGAGGTTGGGTTGCATGGTAGCTCTCTCGGGACCGGCACCTGTGGCCTGAGCCCCAGCGTCTCCACATTAAGCTGGGGTTGTCCACTCTAGAGGGGCTCATATTCCAGCATCAGGGAGTACCAGGTTGTGCCACTGTCGTCCTTTCATCCGCCTAGCTGTGCATCTAGTCAGACCACATGGCTCGTAAGAAGGTGCTGTGCTCTCTTCACTCAGAATTAATACTAAGGAAGGACGGGGAGAGAGAGGGGATCACTCAGAAAAGCCTTATTGATTTCAACTGAAATGGACTTTAAGCAACTATAGAGGTGAAAGGGGAGGGGGGTGAACCGTCAGGAATCCAGGCCATCTGCTCTCTTCTTGCCAGCATCTACGTTTTCTTCTCGGTCCCCACGGCCACGCGCCCGTGACAAATATGGCTGCGGCAGCCTTGGGCGCGGGCACCTGCCGGGGCGCGGTCCCGGGAGCCGCGCGGAGCCAATCGCCGGCAGGGGGCGGGGGGAGAGGCTGGGGAAGCGACCCGCCGGGCGCGCGCAGGCGCACTGACTCGCACCTGGCTCCAGGCAGCCGCAGGATTAGGCTTCGCCTGCCGCGATATTGGTGAGGGGCTGGTACGCCGCCCGGGCGCGGGGACAGGAGCGGGCCGGACTGGGGGCCAGTCAGACGCAAAGGACGGACTCGAGGGGGACAGGAATGCTGTCTGCTCTGGGAGTCCTAGGGGCAGTCTGCCGAGGCGCGCGCGCGGGGTGGGGGTGTCCCTGAGGTGATCAGGTTGTGGGTTGGGAGAGCCCTTGGGGCAGGATGGGAGAAACTTGGGCTCAAGGGTGGAATCCTTGCAAAAGAGCTCCTCGGGGGCCTAGGGTCGCGGGATGCCTCGGGCCGGGATCCATTTCATGAACACAATGGCCCTTACCCCTGGTGGCCTAGTAGAACCACTTGGGGAGATTTAAAAGAACACTGACGCTGGGCCCCATCGCTGAAAATTCCGATTAATTGGTCAGGGGTGAGGCCCGGGCCTTGGTATTGAGCAACTCCTCAGGTGATTTTAACGTACAGAGAGGCTGGAGAACCACAAGTTTCAGCGCCAGTTGTTGCGTAAAGAGCCCCTGCGTTAGCCCCAGACTCCTTGGTGTCTTGGGGAGGGGCTGGTGGTCCCAGTGTGAAGTCGCTGACCCTCCAGTGCCCTGGGAGAGGAGGAGGGTACCACCCCCAGTGAGGTGAAATTTTATTTCCAGCGTCAGGAGGATAGACCTATTAGTATTTGGAATGGAGGGCGCCACCCCCACCCCGCACCCCCCTCGCCAGGGGAAGCCCTCCTGCCAGGACTGGACGCTGCTGTGGGGAGGGAGGCTGGGCAGGGGGACAGGCTAGGCGGGTGTGAAACAGGAGAGGCAGCAGACAATTCAGAGGTCAGCCGCTTGTTGAGAAAAGGACACACCTAATATTTGTGCAGGGTGTTACACCTTTCAATTTCATTTGATACTCCTGAGGACAGGTAGAGAATGGAATTATTTTCTCCTGCCTCATAGATGTAGGAATAAACTCAGATGGCTAGTTAGTAGTGATGATGTTCAGACTTGACTCAGGGCTCGCAACTCCAAGTTATGCTTATTAGTAGCTTTCCCGCCTTTACACTATACTCCTTCACATGCAGTCATTAGTCCTTTTAAAGGGAATCAACACCCACCTTCCTGATGCCCCTCACTCTAGGGACCCAGTCTGGCATTCTTGGTTTCCTCCACCAAATCCACCAGCTCCCAGCCACTATCGGTTCGTTCAGAAATCAGGGAGATGCTACTGTTCCTATCCTTTCTAGTTCTTTATCTTCCAGAAGCCTGATGGGTCAAGAGAGAGTTTTTATGCCAGGGGATTCCTTCCAAACAGATCTGGTTCTGTCACCTCAGCAGCTGCCCAGTGCCCCCCATGCCATTGTCCTCAGGACAGAATCTTGTGTGTGATTTACAAAACCCTTTCTGATCTGGTGTCTCTCTACCTCCTTGCCCTGAGCTCTCTTTCCATACTGTATCTGCTTTCCTTAGCACATGGTACAAGGTTAATAAATGTGACTTTTTGTCATCACTCTTCCTCTTTGTGCACCTGTTACCTTGCTATATGTGTTGTATTCAGCGGGGCACATCAAGGTTCCCCTGGTTGCCTCTTTCTGACTCTCACAGCCAAGCAGAGCTGAGGGCCACAGTGGGATTTGGGGGTGGCAATCCTAGGGCTGCTGCTTCTCCCTAGTTCTGGGGATACCCATGTTGGCCTTTTAGGGGCACACTGACTCAGCAGGCATTAACTGAGCACCTACTATGTGCTGAAGGAGCCTGGTAGAAGCAGGGAGTAGAAAACTGGGGTCTGATCTGGTGCTGCTCTTACAGAGCTTGGGTGCTGGAGGAGGGTTAAGGGAGGCATTTGGATCCTGATCAAGGAGCCAAGGGACCTGAAATGGGAGAGAACACCTGCCTGGGTGTACTCAAGAAGTCTTGTGCCACTGAAATGGGCCTTGAATCAGCAGGATTTGATAAGATGGTGGTGGGGTTGGGCATAGTGACATGAGAAATGCTGACATTTTTTAGTCAAAAACACCAGTTTTGAATCTTTGCCCCAGCCCCTAATAGCTCTGTGATTTATTTAATCTTTAGAGCCTTGGTTTCTTCATTTATAAAATGAGATGGAAATAGTAACAAGAGTTGTAAGGATTCTTGATGAGGTAAAAGCCAGGCATACCCAGATGCCTAAGAAATGATATGTAGTTACATCTAGGGTATTTTAGATGGAAGGAACAGCATGAACAAAGGTGTGGAGGTGGCATTTAAAAGAGAATATGAGGGATGGCAGGATGTACCAGGCAGCGAGAGGTGTCCGTCCATGTTGGGTGCTGGAGAGACCACTTCAGTCGTGGATTTGACAGAAGGGGACACTGACTGAAACCCTTTAAAGATCATGAAACCAAACTCCAGAGACAGGAAAAAGAATAACAGTAGCTACTGCTTATCGAGGATCTCCTATGTGCCAGGCACTGTGCTTGGTGCTTTGTATACCTTTTGTGTTTCAGCCTCACAGCAATCCAAGAGGTTGGCATCATCCCCTCTTTATAGATGAGGAGACCAAGGGCCAGGGGAAAGGAAATGCTGGCTCAAAGCCACATAACTGGGACCATCCCAGCACGAGCGAGGGCTCTGGGGACCTCCACCAGGCTCTTCTGCCAGGTGCCAAGGTGGGGGTGGAGTTGGCTGGCGTATAGGGTATTTCACCCAGGTTATGCAACTAGGTTGGTGTGGGTTCCAAGCTGTTCCTCCCCTGGAGAGGCAGGGTTGCTATTTTCTGCTGGGGCTTATTGAGGGTAGGAGGGTGGGTAGGGGAAGGCATTTCCTGAGGGAGGAGCAGAATGTAGAAGAGAAATGGCTGCAGTGACCCTGCACACTCCTCCCCCATCTCCCTCTCCTGGGCAGAGGCTTACCTGGACAGGTCGCTCTGCGCCCCCCCCCCCCCCCCCGCACCCTGGCTCCCCGCCCCCGCATCCCGCCTCTGGCTGTGGTGGGGGCCTGTACCTAGCTCTCCTGAACTGTGCATGTGTTCTTGCTACTTGTAGACTCTCCTCTTTTGATTTAGCCTTGTGTGCCCTGTCTTGTCTCTCGAATTCCCTTACCGAGGGAAGGGGCCGGATTACCAGGCTATTCCCCTGCTCTTACTCCGATCTTTTATGAGTGAGCCCGAGAAAAAGCCAGTTTCTGAACATCTTCTGTGTAACAGTGCTCTGGGCTCCTGGGCATTAGTTTAGTCCTCCCTGTTTTCCTTTAAAGGATGGGCATTATTATTCCCATTCTACAGGTGAGGAAACCGAGGCTCAGACAGGTTAAGTGACTTGCCTGAGGTTACATTCTTAGTAGGAAGTGCAGGTGAAATTTAAGCCCAGCCTCTCCTGATGGCAAAAGTAACACCCTTCCCATGTCACCACCTCTGAGGTTTTCTGCTGTTACCCCAGCATGGGTGCAGGGAGCCAGCTGGTGGAGGCTGGGACTTGCCTCCAGGACTCACCTTCTCCAGCCTCCAGGGTAGGTCACTGGACATCCAGCTGGGGGCCTGGGAGGCTTCATTCCCTTTGGACAAAGGCTTTGGAGGTGAGGCAGGGGTGGGGGTCTGAAAGGCCCTGGGGAGTCTGAGAAAGTGAGCTAGGTTAAGGATAGCAACAGGGGTGCCTGGGTGGCTCAGTGGGTTAAAGCCTCTGCCTTCGGCTCAGGTCATGATGCCTGGGTCCTGGGATCGAGCCCCACATCGGGCTCTCTGCTCCGCGGGGAGCCTGCTTCCTCCTCTCTCTCTACCTACTTGTGATCTCTGTCAAAAAAAAAAAAAAAAAAAAAAAAAGGATAGCAACAGGTAGCTTTGCAGCCCCCCAAACACCTTTAGATTAATACTCACCCCATCCTTGTATGGTGGGTTTGGAAGGTCTGAGAGGCTCCATAGCAGTAATCTCTGAAGTTTGAGTGTCCACTGCACTCATGTGCTAAGTGTTTGAGAGTACTTTCCCCTTGATTGTTAACAATAGTCCTAGAAGGGCTGATGCCATATTGCAGATCAAGAAACAGACATAGAGAGGTTAAGCAAATTCCTCCAGGTCACACAGATAGTAAATGGTGCAGTCAGGACTTAGGAGGCCCCCAATAGTGTTTTCTTTCCACTACGTTCCTTAGAAAGTTCCAGGGAAACTTCTAGGGTGATGGGTATGTTCATGGTCTCCACTGTTGTGATGGTTTTCCAGGTACATATATGTGTTAAAACTGATCAGACGGTACACTTTGCATATGTGCTCATCCTTGTATGTCAGCTATACCTCTGTAAAGCTATGGGGGAAAAAGTACTTCCCACCAAATGTTCCTTCAGGGGCTCAAGGGTTCCAGGAAGAGGCATAGCTGGCCATCATCCTGCTTTGGGGCAAGGTAGGATCACTGTAGCCTGGGAGAGTCTCTCACAGACTTAGTGGTTGGTTTCTCATTTCAGGTTGCTCCAGCTGCTTCTCCTTTCCTCATTCCCCAGCACTAGGCATAGATGGGCACCAGGTTGGATCTCTTGAGTGAATTGCCCTCATTTTCCATTGAGCCTGAGAGACCCTGAGATTCCCTTCTTTTCCCCCCACTCAGGGCCTGTTTTTCTATCAGAGTGTGGTCGTGTCCAGTCCACCCTCCCTGAAGGAGATGGAGAGCAGAGAGACAGGCTCTGACCTGAGAAACCCCACAGTCAGGTTGTTGTGGGGGCAGGCAGGAGAGTCTGTGGTATGGCGGCAGGAGGCATCTGTAAGGGGCTGGAGAGAGTCTGGACACAGTGCTGGCTCTTGAAGGATGGGGAGATGGGAGGCTGCTTCCAGCAGGGGCACTACCAAGGACAAAGGCCTGGCTAGAGGAGAGGGTGGCTTGAAGACCCAGGGAAGGCTGGGCTGGACAGAGGCCCTGGAAGGGTGGGCACAGAGTGGGAACCTTCGTGGGTCATGGGGCAAGGACAGGTCCTGGGAGTCACTGTTAGACTGGGGCTGAAGTTGGCTCTCCAGGGCCTGACCGTGATGGGAAGCAGAAGTTTCAGCTGTGTGTATCTGTGTGTGCGTGTGCATGCGTGCACACACTAACATGTAGATCGCACACATGGTCAGGCATGGTGTCACAAGGACTCAGAGAGGAACAGCCCCAAGGGTATGTGTGAGTTTCCTAGGGCTGCTGGGACAGATTTCCGCAAACAGGGTGGCTTAAAACAACCAAAATGTATTGTCTCACGGTCCGAAACAACTCCAGCCGGTTACGATCCCTCTAGAGGCTCTAGGGAAGAATCCTTCCTTGCTTCCTCCTAGCTTCTGGTGGCTGCCTGCTGTCCTTGCATTCCTTGGCCTCTAGCTACATCATTCCACTTTCTGCCTCTGTCCTCACATAGCCACCTTCCTTCTGGGTGTGTCTGTCTCTGTGTCTAAATTTCCATGTCCCTGTAAGGGCCCACCCGAATTCACTATGATCTCATCTTAACTCGGTTACATCTGCCCAGATCTTGGTTCCAAATAAGGTCACACTTAACAGGTGCTAGGAGTTAGGGCTTGAGCATATCTCTTTTGGGGGACACGATTTAACTCACAATGGGGAACTGGAGAGAAGGAAATCCTCTTAGCTTCCCTCTGGGGGTCAGACACAGGGTTATTTTTCTGAAAAGAGGATGAAAGCTTTGAATCTAAAAAAAGAGACAGGCGGACTTAATGCCTCGCTGCCTAAACTGCGGTCATGGCCCTGTGGTTGCCACCTGGGCGCCCCTTTCGAAGTGCAGAAACTGGTTCCTCCCCAGACCTCCTGAGTCAAAATCTGCATTCTGATGAATTGCCCACATAACTTGAAAGCACTTTCCAGTTTAAGAAGGCCTGCTCTAATAAAGATCTGACTTTTATTTCCTTCCCTCTGATGCTCTGTTTGTCTGTCCAGCCTCTGTGTACAAGTTAGACCAGTTGGAAGCCAGGCACCCCCACTGTGCTTTGTTCACTCTTTTCCCATAACAGGTTCTTGAATTTCTCATCTATATGTTGAGGTGGCCCATAGGCTTGCCTTCTCTGGGGAGCATCTGCCTTGCTGAGCCAGTCCCTTTGTTGCCTTCTTGGGCCATGTCCAACTTTTTGCTGTTTATTACCATTGCTGCCTTGAATGTCTTTGTACATGTTCCTTTGGGGTTCATTTCTTGAGGTGGGATTTCCAGAATCAAAGTGTGTGAGTGGTTGTGGATTCTATCACTCTTATATACCTATGGAACCTGACATCACAGCAGCTCTCCCTGTTCTACCCAGCAGTGCATAGGTACCTGATTTAGAAGGTCAAGTGGCAGACTTTAGAACCAGACAAATCTACTTTTTTGCTGTATGACATTGAGCAAATTATTTAACATCTCTGAGCTTGGCATTGCTCTCTTTTCACATTGTAACAGTGCTATAAATTTTGTAGGGATTTTATAAAGATAATCATGACACCACCACCATCCATTTATCAAGCACTTTCCCTGAGTTACCTCCCTTGATCTTACATTCCTCTGCAGAGTAGGCATGATCATCCCTCTTTCCCTTTTACAGAAGAGGAAACTGAGGCCCAGGTTAAGTAGCTTGCCTGAGGTTATAGGGGCATTGTGTGCCCAGACTCACAGCTGGCATGTCCAGATTGTTAAAGTTTTTGTGATAAGATAGTGTAGATGAAAGAAAATACTGAGCACAGTGCCCTAGCCCATGACCTGGCTTCGAACTTGTTAGATGCCTGCCTTTTTTTCCCACGCTTTTATCAGTTTTCTTGGGTTAACTCAGATAGTGGTATCCAGCCCAGCACTGTTTCAGTTCTATGTTATTGATGAATCTCTAGCTTTGTTTTGTGTACAAACTTTCTCCCAGTGGAAATGAGGGTGTGGGTTGTTGTTTTTTTTTTCTTCTTTAAGATTTATTACTTTATTTATTAGCATGAGCTGGGGCGGGGGTCGGCAGTGGTGGTAGAGGGTAGGGGGAGGGAAAAACAGCAGACTTCCCACTGAACAGGGAGCTAGACGTGAGTCTCAATCCCAGCACTCTGAGATCCTAACCCAAGCGGAAGGCAGATGCTCAACCGACTGAGCCACACAGCCACCCCCGGAAATGAGTTTTTAAATGATTCAGAGGCCTGGGGTTAAGAGCAGAGCTGGCTCTGATCCCTGCAGCTAACTGGCTCCTTCTTCCCCAGGGACAAGGATGGCCAGACTGCTCTTGGAGGATGTGAGCGCTCCCCAGTGTTGCTGGGGCTGACGCCAAGCTGGCAGCCATGGGGCTGGGCAGGCTCCAGGCCTGGATGCTGGGCATTCCTACGGCTGTGGTCTATGGCTCCCTGGCCCTCTTCATCTCTATCCTGCACAATGTGTTCCTGCTTTACTATGTGGACACCTTTGTCTCAGTGTACAAGATCAACAAAGCTGCCTTCTGGGTTGGAGAGGTAGGCCAGCACTGGGGGCGGGGTGGGGGGGAGCTGGACAGATCGCAGGGCTAGATCCCACCCAGTCCAGAGCTGGGGCAGGCCAGGCTGCCCACCGTAATTTAGTAAGAAAAGCTGGAGCTGGAGGTGTTGACTCCTCCTTCTCCTGGCTCCTGTCCTCTGAGCCTGACATGGTTCTAAATATTCACATATATGATAAAATGTATTCACATAGGTTAACTTGTCAGCTGGATAAATTTGCCCTGGGTGGGTGAGTGTCTGATGGGGGCAGTGGCTGGTGGAGTGGGTTTTAGCAGAGGGACTGCCCTGAGCAAAGGTTTGCAGGTAGGAAAGCTGGGCTCACCTTTGAGGGGTGGCAAACAGGCTGGGTAGGGAAAACTCTGGAGAAGAGGCTGCCTAGAGCCCACCTGCCCCGTCTCCCCTCTGCCCACAGACGGTGTTTCTCCTCTGGAACAGCCTCAACGACCCCCTCTTCGGCTGGTTGAGTGACCGTCACTTCCTCAGCTCTCAGCCCTGGTTTGTGTCCTGGGGATGGCTCACAACGGGTCCTATCCCACCCGACCCCTCCCCAAGGGTGCCTGTGTTTGGGGTGGGGAGAGAAAGGGAGAGCATTTTCAGCTTTGGGCCAACTCCCTCCCTTCCCAAGGTCAGGCAGGTGGGAGAAGTGGCATTGACTAACTGTTGCCTTGCTCACCTGGGGAGAGATTTACCCCAGCTTGGCTTGTCAGGTCCTCAGAACTGGGAGCTGTATAGCAGACCCTCTCTGCTGCTTCTGGCAATTACCTTGACTCCATCCCTGCTTGGGCCAACCCTGAGAAATAGGTATCCCACCACTCCTTGGCCATCAGCCCTGGCAGGCTCACAAGGGAGCAGATGAGAAAGTATACCTCTTTTGCTTCCTAAGTCAGAGGCTGAGGACGCGGGGCTCAGTGGGCTCACTCTGGTGTGTTTCATACTCTGGGCCTCTGTCCTCCCTTTGGGGCCTGGGCAGAGGGGGAACTGGGGCTAGCCAACTTGGTAAGAGCCACTCCCACCTTTCCTCCTTTCTTTGGCAGGTCGGGCACTGGGTTCTCCTCGAGGGCTGTGGTGCTGGCACGGGTGCGGGCCCTGGGCTGGCATGGACCATTGCTGGCACTATCGTTCCTGGCATTCTGGGTGCCCTGGGCCCCAGCTGGCCTGCAGTTCTTGCTGTGCCTATGCCTCTATGATGGCTTCCTGACGCTCGTGGACCTGCACCATCATGCCTTGCTGGCTGACCTGGCCCTCTCTGCGCACGACCGTACCCACCTCAACTTCTACTGCTCCCTCTTCAGTGCGGCTGGCTCCCTCTCTGTCTTTGCCTCCTATGCCTTCTGGAACAAGGAAGACTTCTCTTCCTTCCGCGCCTTCTGTGTGGCACTGGCCACCGGCTCTGGGCTGGGCTTTGTGGCGGCCACACGGCTGCTTAAGCGGCAGGTTGAGGCAGTTGGCAGGCAGCCAGAGTGCCCAGCCCTGGCTGCGGATGGCGGGTGAGTGGCCTGGCCCAGCGCCCTGGGTTCCTCGCAGCACACAGAGTGCCCTGGGGCATGGGTGGCTGCCTGGGGGTGGCGGATGGCTCTGGCCCAGCCCTAGGTCATGGGTGACTCCCCTGTGCCCTGTAGCCTGTGCGGAGAGGAGCTGCTCACAGGCCGCCAGGATGCAGGCAGCGTCACTCTGGGCCAGTACCTCCAGCAGCTGGCACGTCATCGGAACTTCCTATGGTTCGTGGGCATGGACCTGGTGCAGGTATGGGAGCAGCATCCCCCCCAACCCCCCACCCACAGCCAGGATGTGCCTCACTCAGGGGAGTAGGTGCCTTAAAAGCTGGGCCTCATGTGAGCACTGCTGGGTGATTTGTTAGCTGGAACACAGTTCTGTTCGTTGGGAGGCATGGATTCTAGCACCATCAGAAGTCCTCACTCCCTGTGTGACCTTAGGCAGGTCTGTCTCTCGGGGCAGCTGCGTCTTCACCTGCAAAAGGAAGCTGTGAGAAAGAGGTGCTCCTGGAATTTCGTGACAATCTTTTTAAAACACTAAATGCCGTGCCTGAAACACCTGTAGCATGTAAGCTAGCTAAATTCAGAAATAGATGATGTTTATACCAACAAGCTTGTTTTACGAAAGTGTTATCGATTAAAGAGAAAAAAACTTAATTATTCAGTTTGACAGTTTTAATCATTCCTTCTACCTTTTAGCAAAATTAGATGAGCAACAGGAATCTGGTGTTGGGTTTTATTCTGGCATGTTCCATGGGGAGGGACATGGGGTTAAAGTCTGCTCTTGCTCTCGGCGCTCCTGGGTCGGCTTCCGGCCTGCTCCCAGCTCCGCTCCAGCCCAGCAGCCTCCTCACGGGGCGGTTGGGTTGCAGGTCTTTCACTGCCACTTCAACAGCAACTTCTTCCCCCTCTTCCTGGAGCATCTGTTGTCAGACCACATCTCCCTCTCCACGGGCTCCTTCCTTTTGGGTGAGTGGGTACCGCAGGCAGGCTGGAAGGCCCGAAGCTTGCCGCCCAGCTGCAAGCGCAGCTCGCAGGGGTGCAGGGGCGGGGGGCGGGGTCCCTGCCGCTGCGGGCGCTACCCTCCAGGCCTCCCACTCAGCTGTGGGAGGAGGGGGTGGGAGCCCGTTGCGGTACGAGGAGGGTATGGCCGCTCTCTGGTGGTCTCCGTGATGGCGCACCCCGGAGGGGAGGCGGCAGGGCGGCCTCTCACAGCACGGCTGACAGGCTTGGGGGCGCGACTCCACTGCTTGTTCACTGGGCGTCCTTGGGTGTGTTTTCTTTAGTCTCTTTGGGCCTCCACTTACCATCTGTGAGGCAGGGGCAATCACAGGACTGATCCTGAAGGGTGGAGAGGATTAAATAAGCGGACGTGAAGCTCGTGGCGCAGAGCCCGGCACGTCGGGAGGGTTCCGTCCGTGCCCGCTCTGATGCCGGCGGCGGGCATGTGCGCTGGCAGCGGCCCGTGACAAGGCTGCGCCTTCTGTCCAGGCATCTCCTACGTGGCCCCCCACCTCAACAACCTCTACTTCCTGCCCTTGTGCCGGCGCTGGGGCATCTACGCCGTGGTGCGGGGGCTCTTCCTGCTCAAGCTGGGCCTGAGCCTGCTCATGCTGTTGGCCGGCCCCGACCGCCCCGGCCTCCTCTGCCTCTTCATTGCCAGGTATGCGCTGCCCTCCCTCACCCCCTCCACCTCTGCTCCACCCGGTCATCCTTGCCCCCCCGCCCTCCTTTCTTCGCTGGCAGCAACCGCGTCTTCACTGAGGGCACCTGTAAGCTGCTGACCCTGGTGGTCACTGACCTGGTGGATGAGGACCTGGTCCTGAACCGCCGCAAGCAGGCGGCCTCAGCTCTTCTCTTTGGCATGGTGGCCCTGGTGACCAAGCCGGGCCAGACCTTCGCCCCGCTGCTGGGCACCTGGCTGCTGTGCTTCTACACAGGTGAGGGCCCTGGGGCTGGCACTGGGCTCTTGAGATTCCAGGGTTCAGAGCTTACCTGGCATAGCAGCTGACAAGCTGGGTCCAGTCAGGGGGGAGAGAATGGCAACTGGCCAACAAGCTGTGCCTGGTCCACACCTCCTCCACCTCTGCCCAGGTAGGGAGAGAAACTGAGTGTCCGGTACTTCCCATGTTTCAATAGTTTATTCATTCATTCATTCATTCATTCATTCATTCGACAAGCATGTGTAGAATACTTTCTCTGCCAGGAGCGGCTCCAAGTCCCTTTAGGGAGGTAACAGTGGTCTTTGCCTTCATGGAACTTCCATTCTGGTTAGAAGGATGGGTGGGGTTGGCGATAAAGAGCCAAACAAGAAAAGAGCTACGGTATTGGGAAAAGTGATGGCAACATAGGCAGTGTGACTGAGAAGCTACTTAGTGTGTGGTCCAGGAAGGCCTCTTTGCAGAGATGACACCCAGGATGTGGACTGAATGGCAAGAATTGGGTCTAGAAAGATCTCAGTGAATCCTGGACAGGGAGGGGGGCAAGTACAGAGGACTGAGGTATCAGGAGTCGCTGGAGACGAGGCTGGGGGGCAGGGAACTCTGTCTGTCAGCACAGGGTTTGGATTTGATTCTCAGTGTGAAGAGAAACTATTGCCAGGGCAGTAGTGACATGGTCTAGCAGGGCAGTGACATGGTCTGGTCTGTTTTTTAAAGTTCGCCCTGACAGCGGAATGGAGAATGGGCTGTGGGGAGGGGGTGGCAGAGGCCATGGAAGCTCGGAGCTGGCAGTGCCAGGGGTGCTGGAAGAAAGTGTCTGGGTGTGGGGTGTGTTTTGGAATTGGGGGGAGGGGAAGGACTGGCTGCTGGGGAGTGGTGAGGTTACCCGAAGAATCGAGGAAGGCTTTGTGCTTATGGGGTGGATGGTGGTGCCAGTCACCCAGAAGGGAAGCACAGGGTGAGGCAAGTTTGGGGGAAGAAGTGAGTTGTGGTTTAGACATGAGTGTGTGTCACTTGAGATGTGGCACTGGGGACCTTGGAGGAGACCAGGGCTGATCCTGTTCTTTCTGCACGCTCTCTCACCCTAGGTCACGATCTCTTCCAGCAGCCCCCGCTGACCCCTGTGGGGAGTGCCCAGCCCTGGCCAGAGCCCCCGGCCCCGGCCCCAGCCCAGGCCCCGACACTCCGCCAGGGCTGCTTCTACCTGCTGGTGCTGGTGCCCATCACCTGTGCCCTGCTGCAGCTGTTCACTTGGTCCCAGTTCACACTGCACGGGAGACGCCTGCACATGGTCAAAGCCCAGCGCCAGAACCTATCACGGGCCCAGACCCTGGATGTTAAGATGGTGTGAGAGGCAGGCCCAGCAAGGCCACCCTGCTGAGGATGCTGTCACAGGCCTGGGCAGGAGCCACTTTTGCCAGGCCCTCGTCCTGCTCCTCTGCCTCCCTGGGGCACTGCCTGGAGGACAGATGGCAGAATGGGAGCCTTTGAGGCTGAGCCAGGAGCATCACTGAGGTCTGTTCTGGCTTGGCTGTCTGGCCCAGCTTGGGCAAGAGCTAGGCTGTATGTGCTCAGGGACCTGCTTCCCTGCTGTGGGGCAGGAGGAAGAGGAGGACCAAGAAGGGAAGGGGCTGTCTGCGATCACATGGGGTTGCTGCAGGGCCTGGAGGTCTGTCCAACCACGTGGCCGGGGCTGGTGCTGCGTAGGCTCTGAAGCCATTTTCACCATTCAGGGGACGCTGTGAGTCCCACCGCCCCCTCCCTCCACCTTTCCAGTGGTTTCTCTGACCTCTCCGCTTCAGTTGTGCCTGAAGTATTGTGGCCCAGCTGCTGCAGGGCTTCCCCACCCCTATCTGACCTCTCAAAGAGGTTCATGTCATCACAGACTGATTAAAGTCAGTCATTTCTGTTCCTGAGGTCTGCGCTATGTGCGGGAGTGGTGGGTTGGTGGGGTTGGGAACAGAATTCCTCTTAATAGGAGAAGCACCCCGAGAACATTTTCTGTAGATGAGTTGGTGGGGGTAGGGGGACACCCTTACCAGAGTCACTGAGGCAGCAGGGAGGGCGTGCAGACCGGTAGCTGCATGAGCATCTGGGAGCAGAAGGACTTGCAGGCCTGTGGTCATGTCCTGGTGCATTTCCCGTACACCACTGTCAGACATGGGGAGTGAGGAAAAGCTGCTGCTTCCAAAACTGAGGTCTTCAACCCTGGAGTCACTGGGAGCTTTCAAAAATGCTGATGTCTTGGATTCTGTTCCCCAAGATTCTGATGTCATGGATTCTGGGCTATGGCCTAGGCAAGGAGGTTTTGGAAAGCTCTATGATTTTACTGTGCAGCAGGGATTGAATACCCGTGCTCTAGGCCAGCGTTTCTCAACCTAAGGACGTTCGGAGCCAGATAGTTCTTTGTTATGAATATTTGAAGTGGCATCCCTGGCCTCTGCCTAGATGCCAGTAGCATTTCCCAACCAGTTGTGACAACCCAGTGTCTCCAGACATTGCCAGGAATGTCCTTGATTGGGACCTACTGCTCAAGGCCAGTGGTTTTTGAGGATATGTATAGTGGCTAAAAATTTAGGCTCTAGGGTTATATTGCCTGGATTCAAATCCTATCTGATAAAGGGCAGAGCTCTGGGAAATTACATAATCTTTTTGTGGCTCTAATTCATCTGCAAAGTGGATAATAAAAATATCTACTTTGCAGGGTTGTTGGGAGGATCAGATAAGTTAATATTTGCAAAGGGCCTGGAAATCGCCCCCACCAAGTATACAGGTTTAAAATGGAGAGCTGATTAGTCAGAATATCTGAGTGTAGGCCCCAGGAACTACATTTTAAGCTCCTGAGCTTCTTATCCATGTGGAAGTTCTGACTTCACAGATGTCAAAAGGTGCTCCCCTCATCTGAGGTAGTTTCAGTTCTGGGTTTTAGTGTATGTGCAGGTCTGGGACCTTCAGTTCCTGAAGTGGGGCTTTGGCATGAACAACACCTTCCTGTATCCACTTGACAGGCTGCGACCTGGGTGAAGGGCTGGCCAAGTCTGGCTGGTACAAGAGTGCCCTCTAGAGGACACACAAGGCCCAATCACCGCCTCAGATTCCCAGCCCACAGCTCCTCTTCCCACCCAGCATCAGAGAAAGAGGCCCAGCTGATGCGTCTATTGGAACGACTTTATTTAAGTACATTGGGCCCCACCAGGCAACGTGGTCTGTGCAAGGGACAGGCTTGGGCTAGGAGAAGGGAGGTGAGCTGGTTAAGCACACTGCAGTCCGTGGGTCGCCACATCGCTTTCACACACACCTGCTGCTGTGGCCCATACCTGGCAGGGCCTTTGGTCGTTGGACGGCATGGGGGAGAAGGCTGCCTGGAGTCTGGGATTGGGGCGGGTCTTGGTGTCACAGGTGAGGGTGCCGGTGAAGATCTGCTGACCCCAGCTTTGCACCATCTGGGCTAAAGAGCCTTTGGACACTGCTAGGCCAGCCCAGTCCAGGGTAGGCACCTGGCCCCACTGGATCAGGGGAGATGAGCCCGTCAGCCCCTGGCACTCTGGTCTGGCCCCACCCTCCTTTAACACACAAGTCCAAAGTTAAGAATGGCACAAATCAGCCCAGGTGGGGCCTTGTCACCTCTATAACCTAGAGCCCCCTGTGCCCCCCCCCCCCCGGGGGGGGACAGCTAGAGTGGGAAAAGGCAACCTGGTTAATGGCGGCTCTTTCTCCAGTCCTAAGGGGGATGGATCCCCAATACCCCTCCTTTGCTAGAGGCCTCTGCCAAAGAGTGATTCTACCTCCTGTTTCAAAAAAATCCCAACTGGCAACCAGCCTGTTGATCCCAGGGCAGTGAGCAAATGGAAGAGGAAGAAAGAGGCTGGTGGTAGTGACTTTGAATGTAGCCTCTGATCCTAAATAGGCCTCAGGATAGGCCTGTGGATACTGTCAGTTCACCGTTAGCAGGGAGTGGCGGGGCCCCGGACTATGCTAAACCGAGGTGCTGTAAACATCAGTGTGAACAGGGTGACTGGTGGGCAGGAGGCGGTGAGCTCCCTCTCCAGTCCCATACTGAACAAACACGTCAATAAATAAAACTGTTTAAAGATGGCATTGCCCAAGGATGGATGAGAAGCAAGTAACAGGGCCTGGGGCCAACAGGCTCCTGACGCTCTCCCGAGACCCCCTGGACAGGGGCTGGGGGTTGGAGCATTCACTCTGCCACCCATCAGAAGTCTAGCACTACTTCTGCCTCTTCAAATGCCCAGTGTGGTCCTGGTCCCCAGGTGAGGTGGAGGGCCCCCTGCCGTCTCCTGACCCCAGAGTCTCAGTAATAGCTCTTGGAGTGCTTTCCCAGCCTTCCCCAACCCAAACTGCAACAAAACCAGACAGAACTCAACTTCGGCCCCAGTCCTCAGTCCATGAAAACTGGCATAGAGAGCAGAAGGACGAGCAAGGGAGGCAGCGGCTGCCTTAGGCCTCGGGGGACCCTGGGGGTGGGACGGGGTGGGGCTAGCCCAGCCTAGGATGGGCAGCAGCAAGGTCTCCCGGGATTTACCCTCTCTGTCTCCCTATGGTAGTAAACGTAGTCCCACACAGCCAGATGAAGGCCCAGCTGACGAAGGAGTGGAGCCCTCTGCCAGCACTTCCCTGTCGGGGGCCAGTTAATGGTCAACCCCAGGCCTCAGGCCGTTGCCATCATGGGTAGTTCATCGTCCTTTCTGGGCCCTGGGATCCCCGGGCCACACGGCTCTCGCATATGCGCACACATTCGTACCCACACACCCACACACACACTCACACACACAGGCAGTTCCTCGCAAACACTCCCGACTCAAGAAAGCGAGTTTTAAAGTGGAGTTAACTTCAGAGAGAGGTGAAGATGATGTCCCAACATTAGAAGGTTTTCCTGTGGATAGATCGGGCACCGTCTTCCTCATATTCCTTCTTGGAGACCCACATCTTCTTAAAGGTGTCCAGGGAGGCGAGGATGGAGCCCCTGGAGTGGAGGGAATCCCAAGGAATGTTGTGAGAGGGAGAAAGTAGATATCTGTGGAGCTGGGCAGTCCCCATGGGGCCAAAGCAGTCAAGGCTTTCCTTTAAAGGGATGGGGTGGTGAGGGGTAATGATGCCCTCACTTCCTGTTCCGCTCTTATTCCCAGGAGAACTACTCACCCAATCCATGTGGAATACAGCCTCTCCTGAGGTGCGGATATCTGAAAGGGTAGGTGGAAAGAGAACTCTGAGACTTTCACCCTCCTTGTCCCTTTCCTGTCCAATGCTCATCTTTATGGCCAGTTCTAATGCCCAAGGCAGTGGATGCATTTCACACAATGTCCCTGCTGGACCCCGTGGCCTCTCTGGGGGGTACTGTGGCCAGCCCGACACTCATCTGGAGGAGCAGATTTCCAGCAGCCCTACGTATCTACAGCTGTCAGAGAAGCTGGGGCTGTCAGGGGACAAGATTCTGCTGGGGCCGATTGGAAGCAGACTCCATGGCAGGAATCACACTCCTTCATTTAGCCTCCCTCAGGAGGCACTAAGATGGTGGACTGGTCACGAGGGAGCACCAGGAGTCAATCTGTCAACATTATGGTTTCTCTGAAAGACTATATGTGGGACCCTCAAGCCTAGTGGCCTGTGCCATCAGGGTATCAGAACTGTCCCCTTCTGTTGGGAGGGAGAAGGAAAATGGGTTCTCCCCTCTGATAGATGTCAAGGTCAGTGTGGAAGCTGGGAGCTGTCTAGCCTCAGAGGGGAGGCCCCGTTCCATGAAGCCCCAGCCCCCACCATGCTCCTACCCTGATCTTCACGTCTTTCGGAGCCAATTTCTTTACTTCACTCAGTAGTCTGTCACCGAAACCTGAATAGGCAGGACAGGGGAATCTCAAGTCAATTCTCTGGGCACCTGGAAACTTCCTTGGCAATGGGCTCCGAGAGCAAAGACCAACCTTTGAATAGGGTGGAACCTCCTGAGAGGACAATGTTCGAGAAAAGCGTGCGCCGCAGGTCCATGTCCGACTTTTGGATGGCAAACACCAGCACCTCATGGATGCCCTCACTTTCCTCTCCGATCAGGTCTGGCCTGAATAGCAGCTCAGGTGCTCGGAATCGGGAAGGACCAATCTGCAGGGTGGGGGGCAAACTCAGAGGCTGGGCCCAGGGCTGAGGTCCCTTTAGGAGTGAGAGTGGAAGAGGCCCCTCTGCCCATCTGTTAGTGACCAGACGGCTAGGAAGGCCAGGCTCAGGGAAGACCTGGTATGTCAAGAGCCTCAAAACACCAAGACAAAACTCTGGGGAACAAATGGGAAACAAAAAGGGAAAAGGAGAGCTCTTGGGAAACCAGAGAGAGGAAGTTCTTATGTTTAATCCTAGCTCTGGGACTTTCCAGCCAAGAGACCTTATAATAAATTCATGGGTTTATTCATTCATGGAAATCTCTTCCTACTAATGCAGGTCCAGGAAGAGGCAGCTCACCCTATACTGTGTCGAAGTGATAAGAGATAAACAGCACTAACCACCTTCTTCCAAACCCCCTGACGCCTCGCTCTGCAGGAGACGGTGCCATCCAAGAGCTCCAGGGCTCCAGGCAGAGGGTGTAAAAGGGTTGGTGCATGTGAGTCCAGCCTTCCCCTGGGGAGTTCTGTTGGGGCCCTGAGCTTCTGGGGGCCTGCGGGGACTGAAGGGAGATCCAGACCTACCTCAATGGTGCTGCCGTCGGGCAGGTAGTACTGAGCTTTCTCTGTCTCTAGAGTCTCATCCTTCTGTGGGTTTATGGACAGGTAGCAGGCTCTCTGCAGGACCAAGCATGAGTCAGGCAGATGGGAAACCTAGGCCTAACTGGTCAAAGTCCCAGTGTTGCTGCAGACATCTGCCAACCACGCTGATTGTCCTAAGGGGTCCCAGAGCTCCTGCCCTGGAGCACGGCAGG